GACGGGAGGGGAGGGGGACGAAGGAAGGGAGGCGAGGCGAGGGCGACGAGGGGGAGGAGGAAACGGGGGGGAGGGAAGGGTTGAAGAGAGGGATGGAGGAGGACAAGGGGGGGAGGAGGAGAGGGAGGAGTTGAAGGACAAGGGGAGGAGAAGAGGGAAAAGGCGAGGGCGACAAGGGGGAGGAGGACAAGGGGAGGAAGAGAGGGAGGGGGGAGGAGGAGTCACCCAGGAGTGACTACGCGGGGCCCTGTCCCGTCGCGAGCCCCTGGAGCGCAGAGAGCACGCGGGCCTCCGCAGCACCGGGGCGGCGCTGCTCGGACCGCCGGAGGAGCCCGAGCCCTCCGCGCTCCGAGCGTCCTCCTCGCGGCCTCGGCACCCTCGCGCCGTCGACCTGAACCCCGGCGGAGGGAAGGAAGCGCCAGAGATCCCCAGAGGTGCTTCTTGTTTGGGGGCGGGGGGGTCGCGTCGTGCGTTTCATGCACGGCGCGCGGAGGAGGGAGGGAGGGAGGGCAGGAGGAGGAGGAGGAGGAGGAGGGAGGAGGAGGAGGAGGAGGAGGGAGGAGAGGGAGGAGGAGGGGAGGAGGAGGAGGAGGAGGAGGAGGAAAAGGAAAAGGAGGAGGAAAAGGAGGAGGAGGAGTGTCCTGAGCCATTTGGGCCCGAGAAGGCGTCTCCGCCCGAACGACTGGGGGCGCGTCATCCCCCTCAGCTCGCGGCGACGCCCAGGCGCGGCGCAGACGCCATGGCGCCCGCGGTCCCTCCGGCCCCGCCCGCGCCTCTGTCCGCTGCAGGTGATATCACGAACACGCAGGCCAAGGCCACAGGGGGGCCGCCCGAGTGCGAGGCGGCCCGATGCGCACACCTCGTTCTCTCTTCCATCAAACAAGTTTTTGATTCGCGGGTCGAGAGCGCACCTCTTCCGGTCGAAGCTAAGCGGGCCGCGCGAAGCTTGAATTAAACAGAGATGGGGGAGGACCCCCCATCAAAAAACATCAAGTCATCACTATCGACAAGCATGCTGCGGACCCTGGAGGTCCAATCGCTGGGACACACGGCTGCCCGGAGGGCTGCCAGGTCCAGAAGAATCGAGGCTGCCGAGGCGGCAATCCGCAGGCACATCATACCAGAGACCGACCGCCCGATCATCGAGACCAGGCACATCGTTGAGGAGGTTGGCAACCACGCTACCCTTGCCCATGCCACCCTCAACCCGTACGCGAAGATGTTTGTGCCGAAAGGTTGTCCGCTCAGTATCCCGTCCACCGATATTATCAACGAACACCAGAAGGGAAAGCATCGGAGCCTTGCGTGTAGCTCCACCGTGGCCCTGCCTAACGAGGAGGAGTACCACGATCATCCATGCTTTGCTGACCCCAGCGCTGCCTTGCCTATCGAGGAGGGCAGTTTCAACATCCCGCTGGAGCCAGCTGACCAGAACAAGCCAGTTGACATGCCCTTTTGCGCAGAGTGCATTTGCGGCACCGTCGTCTTCCTCAAGAAGCAGCACAACTTCCCTTCAGCGAGCAATGCCAGACCGGCCAATCCCGTTCAGAACGATTTGAGAAACACCGTCAGCCACACCGAGACTAACCATAGGTTGGAGGTAATTACGGGAGAGCGGGGGTCCAGCTCACCGCCCCGTCGCCGAGGCCACTCCCCCTCCAGACGGAGGAGGAGAGGAGCCGGCAGCTGGCAGGAGCGACGGCCCGTCCTCCACTGCCTCTTACTGGGACGCATGCCGCGTCCGCGGCGCCGTCGTCACCGTCGCAATCGGCGCGGCCATGGAGACCAGCCGCCACCGCTGCCAGCGACGACCAGGGGGACAACTACGAGGACGCTGCCGCCGACGGCTTCAGCGCCGACAACTACAACGACCTTGCATAACCGAGCGGGCTGCACCACGAGCGCGACGTCGACAGTATGGCCGCAGACGTTCAATCCAGAGGCGCTCGAGCAGCCTTCGATGAGCTCACCTCGGCGGAGCAGCAGGATTACGTCAACTGTGCCAGCTTCGAGATTGCCTCCGACCTGCAGCTCGCGAGGGCGCGGGGACAACAAGGGCTCCTCCCTGAACAGGTCACCTCCGCTTGGAGCGCCCTCCACAACCGAGAGAAGACGCGATGGCTGCCAGAAAGCTTCGAGGACGCCCAGATGGCGGTCGGCAACACCAGCTGGGACGACCCATCCGCGCCCACCTCCGTCCGCAGACCGTGGGGGATGTTCGAAGTCCACGTCGACGAAATCCTCGACACGGCTTCCGAGGATCCCGACGAGGACACCACTCTGAGCACCTGAGAAGCCCCAGCTTGCGCCTCACAATTTCTAGCAAAGGCCCCCAGCGCCGACATGAGGGTTGGTCGTGAATTGGATTGGGTGGGAGTTGGGATACGTGGGAATGGGTGAGGCTGGATTGGGATTGGGAGCATGTCGCGCCACCGCCCCAGGCGCGTGCCAATTGTCAGCCCGTGCCGACGCCAACCGCGCACCGCCTTCCCGACAGCAG